GCAAGTCATCAGGTAGGTGACTGGATGAAACCGAATAAATTTCCTCAAGGTGACCGAAGACTTTGCCACGGAATAATATGGCTGGGGAAGGAAGCAAGGTCGTTATGTAAATGGAGCCACGTGAGTTTTCTATGGTGACAACTGCGAACTGCAAAAGGAAGCTTTTGCGAGAGCCGAAGGCATTGCAGGGAATAAAGAGGGCGGCGACAGAGGGTGCGTTGTCGCAGAAGAGTGGCACAAGAACGCGGGATAGAGGAGGGATGTGAGTGTCCGCGGCCACGGTGACTCAGGAAGATAGCGGCTTGAAAGAAGGTCTTTCAGATGTCGGCGCTTCACACAGGGGAAGTTCACACATCATCAACTCTTGTTCGGCACGTGCACATTGAACGACGGCATGATGAGCGCACAGGAAGTCCCAGTCTACGATGATAACGTGTGAACATGAGGAAAACACGACGAATTCGACTACATACAAAATATTTTGGATGACCAGTCGAGCTGTGCACGCTGCAGAAGGTTGGATGTGATGCGCAATGGCCGTGCGGAGAGAGACATCGGAAAGCGGCAACGTAAGCTTCTTCAACTTGCCACACAGTTCACCGCTTAGCACGGACATGGCAGCACCTGTATCAACGAGCGAATTTGCAAGTACACCATCAATATGCACAGTTATTTCATTAGTAGATAAAAACGGAGGCCTTGAAGGTTTCGTTAAAGATCCCAGGTGGTCGAAATTTTCGGAGCCCTCCACTACGGCGCCTCTCATAATCCTATGGTGGTTTTGGAACGTTAAACCCCACATATCAATCAATTTTAAAGGTTTTGATATGTGCACAGCTCTTGCCTTGGGAACTGCGATGGTCAGTTTTCCGTTTGGGTGGGTGGGGATCGAGGAAGCATCGGAGAAATAGAGCGGCGCCGTGGTGAGGGCGACCGATCTCTGTCGAAGCCACTGTGACGGGGGGGCGACTGATCCGACGGAGGGGGAGGGGGGGGGGAGCGATGACGACTGTGGTGGCTCTGGACGATAGGATTCGTAATTCGCCTCACTAACAGTTGGGTTGTAATCCCAACGATGGCAGTAGCGTGCTACATGAACGGGACGATGGCAGAAATAGCAAATTAGCCTGTTGTCCGATGTGCGCCAAGGGTTAGTTGGTGGTGGTGAGGGGTGGCGAACAGGAGATGGGTGGGGATAGATAGGTGGACTTGCTGGGTAGAGGGGACGGGGCTGTCTCGCAATATCCGTGACGGTTAATAGCGACAGTAGCGATCGTCTGGCGGCCTCAGCGTGAGAGGGGCGGAGATAGGCGAAAGATGGTATGTGGGAGACAGGGCGTCAGAAACTTGTTCTTCGATTGCCTTGCCGAGCGTTGGGGTCAGCGTGCGCGCACTGGTCGGGACGTACGGCACAAAAGACAATTGGCGCGACACTTTCTCTCGGATGAACTGCTCGATTTGCTGCATTAACGTGGTTTGTTCGGAGGAAACAGCGCCAATGGTTAACGCAGATGTAGAGGTCGTGTCGAGGTTTGGACGTCGAGTAGAAATGCACTCTCTCCGCAGCTCATCAAAACTCTGACAGTGCTGAATAAGATGGGCGAAGGTTTGCAGGTTTTTTGCAACGAGCATGTGAAAGGCGTCATCCTCAATACCTTTCATGATGTGCCGTATTTTGTCAGTGTCAGACATGTCGGAATTGATACGATGGCAGAGGTCCAGAACATCCTCAATATACGAGGTAAAGGTCTCGCCAGAGCGCTGTGCGCAGCAGCGCAAGCTCTTTTTGGCGCGAAGCTTGCGAACAGCGGGTTGGCCAAAGACTTCTGCAAAGCGCATCTTGAAGGTTGACCAAGAGGGTATTTCTGCTTTGTGGTTGTGAAACCACAGTTCTGCCACACCCACAAGATAGAAATTGAGGTAAGCGAGCTTGTCTGTGTCATCCCACTTATTGTGGGGGCTTACCGCTTCATACTAGGACAGCCAGTCTTTGGCGTCTTGGTCGTCGGTCGCATTGAAAATCACTGGATCTCGCTGTCGGGGCATTCTGGAACAGTTGAAAAATGGGATTGTGACTGCAGGTGGCTGGGCCATGTCGTCCGGCATTGGCGAGGCGGGGGGCTGAGGTAGAGTCCAGGAGCGGAGTTTCAGTTCGAGACAACCAGCACTGTCCACCAAATGTATGAATTCTGTTAGACGCCACGCCGTGGTGAAGCAATCGTTTAATGGGCCTAACAGCAGCGAGACAGCAGCCAGCGGATTTAGCAGCAGCTGCAGCAGCACGAGCCTCCGCCACAACAAACGACTTCTTTGTCGTTTCTTTAGCAGAGTCCGTATTTGTCACTACAATATGTACAAGCGAGCTTTCGTTTATCGAACCCTTCTGTAATTTCAGCGATGGGGTAGCGTTTAATCTTCTTAAAGGGACACTAAAAGCACCCATTAAGTCAAGGTTGATTGTTGAAATAGCGGTCCAGTAACATCGTAGTATTTTGTGCCAAGGAAGGGCTTGTTTTGAAATAAAATCACGTTTTAGTGGCCCGAATCGGGTTGGCGCACTTCAAATTACCCACCTCAAGAAGCGCACCGACCCTCATCACTGTTGCCGTGCACGTTTCCCACCTTTACTGCACAGTCGTTGACACTAGTAGACAGAATGAAAGCAGCAGGAGCCACAGCAGCAACACCGGTCATTGATTGATTTGCTACCACTTGCTCCGAGATGGCAGACGTGTTTTCGTTCAATTGCACCCCGCTAGATGGCACGACCTGTCCAGTGTAACCATGCAAAAATTGAATTTTCGAACCACTCACGTCATCCTCCGTAGTAACATCCGGCGATTCTTTTTGCCATGAATCAAACAGAAATGAACAAGGAGCATTTTATTGCGTCTCTTGACGCAGGGAAGGTTCTTTATTTAGTGCAGCTAGATCAATTACTTGTGAATATTTGTAGGCGGTTTGTCTGACGTCATCGGTATCATTTTCAGAATGTCTTACTGCCGCGCATGTATTCTTGTGAATTTACCTTAATTTCTGGGTAAGTAGGGCACTGCTATTGATAAATATTGTCGTTTTAGATGTCATACATTGAGCTTTTTCTCTGACGTAAATTGTTATTTGACAGTGTCCCTTTAATAAGATCGCCGGCGCAACGCGTGTATTGTGTTGTGTATGTTGCGGAACCTGCACAAGTTCTAGCGCATTCCTTGTAAAGAATGATGAGTCGCGTACCTGGCCACAGTCATGAATATTGAGCTCATGCGTTTCGCCCAATATCAGATTCCGGCGCCTGTGCTCACTGCCGTACTTCGGGTTACATATGTGTTAATGGCGGCAAGTTTAGCTAAAAGTTTTTTTTTTTTTATCTGCAGTTTTACCCACCATGATTAGCAAGTTGTTAGGGGGCTCGACTACTGACTAAAGGTAGAGGATAGAATCCAGGCCACGGGGGCTGCATTTTCATGGAGGAGAAATGCTACCGAGGCCTCCACAAAGAACGCCAGGCAGTCGTGGTTTTTATATCCCTCCAGCACGGCGTCTCTCATGATGACATCGTCATTTTGGGACGTGAAACCTCGGCTATTATAACTATCTGCTGTGTCCACTACTCTTTGCTTCACTGCCACAGCAATATTAATGAAATCATTGCAAGTGAAAAAATGCCAGGCCTGCACGAAAGGCACAGCACAGTCTCTGCAAAAGGTAGAACAGCGGCCTTTCAGAGCCTTTTCTAAACACTCATTACATAACTGCTGCAAGCACACTTGGTGGGTACCCACTACGGCATTAATAATATTAATTTCTGGGTAGTAGGTCAGCATTCGCTATGCTACCCTTCGTCATTCTTCTGAGAAGCGTGGTATATGCTAAACACTTGCAACGAATTTTGTCCCAATTGTTCATGCAGTGGCTAACAATAATGAGGAATGATGCCTGAAGTGGATATCCACCACAGTTAACAGGTGATTAAGGACAAGCTTCTTTAGTGGGTTGGAGCATCCGACAACCCAATCGTTACACTATGTGACGACTGGTTGTTCCTTTGCTGTTCTAAAATGCTTTATTACTCATATAACGCGATTCCTTTCCTGACATCAAGCATGCCTAAGGCAAGTTTGCGAACAAGTCCCAAGCAGTGGTGTGGCTCAGTGGTAGAATACTGGGCTGGCACACAGTGGACCAGGGTTCGAGTCCCACTGTGTCCTTGGTACTAAGTTTTTTTTTCTTATTTGGATAGGGGTTATGGACGTGTCCGGTGGCGGACAACTACGGCGCCACACATGACCCGAGTTTTGATCTCATAACAGCTTTCGCTGCAAAACACATTTTTACTTTAATCTATATTAGACATCGATAAGGAGTGGTGTACAGGATCCGTGCCTACCCCTGCAAAAGAAAACAAAAAAGCAAGTATTTTATTTTTTGCCATGATTTACAGAGCCAAAAATGAGACCATCCCAAAAGCTGCCCCCTCCCTCCCCCCAAAAAATTCCACCTATGCTCCTGTTGATAAGTGGCCATTTTTGTTATTTGGTGGTGCTAAACTGAATTAGAAGCTTAAACTGAATATTTTCAAAGACGGCGCCAAAGGGTGGGGTTTATGATCATAAAATTTGTCAAAAATAATTCTTGGCCATGTTTTGCTTCTGTTAAAAAATGCTGAGTTGGTAATGACTGGCCCTATAGAACACCTCGCTTCAGAAGGTTACTTTCCAGTATTAATGGACTGGTGAGACATGGCCAACATTGGACACGGCTTGCATAAATGTGTTAATTTTTTTCATTAATGTTTTTATGGTTGAATGTTTGCCCAACAGCATACAAAGTTAACGTATGTTTATATACTTAAGAAGTGCCTGAATATTAATATCTTCACATTGTTGTTTTTTCGCCATCGATTCTCATTATAAAGAAAAAGGAGTGATGTGTGGATCCAAAGCATTGCAGAAACTTCTTCTGGCTTGCCATCCTGAAAGCCCGTCATGTGTCTTGTACAGGCAACTTGTTTCGGCTGAAAATGTTTCGTGAAGAGCAAGGAACCTGGATGATAATGCTGCTGACGGCGCTTGTGTTCGTATACATGCTGTCACTGGTGTATAATGCTTTGCTGCTGAGCGGCCACCCGCGGCCTGACCAGTTTCGTATCAATGCACTCATGGGTGTCACAAATGCCAGCTTCATGAAGGTGGCAGCCTGTGGCACTTGGCTGGGCGACTTCCTCACTGCGTGGATGGTAAGTGAAAGGAAAAGCTCACCTGATGCGAGCGATGACCGACTGCCATGATTGCGGACAGGTGACGGACATGATGCTCCAGGATGAGCTGTATCCCAGTTGGGCGCCTGCCCTGCGTGCCTTCTGGCAGAGCCATGGTCGCACTCGCATTTTTGTCTTTTGGTCCGTGTCACTGCTGCTGTCGGCCGTCGTGATCAGCCTGATTGTGAGTGACCACATTTCCTGGGACTACCTCAACCGCGAGTTCGTGGCCACCACTGAGCTGTCTCGTGCCTTCCTCGCCTCCTTCATCCTCGTCATGGACCTGCTCATCGTCATGCAGGCAAGTGTCGCCTTGTGCAGTCTTCTTCCTTAAAGGCCAACTTCGGTGATATTTTGAGGTCAATAGATCTCAATGAAATTCACTGGGTGCGTTCCTTTGCACATTTCTGTCATTTATGCCAAATTACAGGCTTGAGAGATGTGCTCATTGTTTGCAAATGAATTTTAAAGATTGCTTCAAAAAGCTGACCTGGCTTGCCATAATTGGCAACACTGCCTTTGTGACGTCATGTTTGGCATGTCAGCCGAAGTGACGCAGCAAATGGCATTGCTACTTTGGCCGCTACAGCGTTTATTGTGCTGGCCAGAAGGCATCAACGGTGGTGTTTGGCACAGGTATAGCACATGAAACCTTCCTTCCTTCCTCTGTGGTATTATGCTGTTGCTTCACTGGTCTGGCTTTCAGTTTTCATACTACGCGCCGGTGGGACCAGTATGCGGCCTCCATACTATGCCATATAGTATGTCATACGCAGACAGGGTGCTCGATCGGGTTTCGGTTTGGCACCTTTTTGCTTACTAAAAATTATTTTTGAATTTTCTAAGCATTTCAGCTATTGGGCTCATCACAAAAGTGTCTTGGGAATATAGAAACACTATTACTTTCACATGATCAAAAAATCGCCGATGTTGGCTTTTAAAGCGACCAGGCGAGATCATTGCACCATCCTGATAAAGAAAAAGTCGCAGCTTTGCCGCAAAGGCGTAGCAATGAACGCGATAGCAACAAATTGGAAAGTCACGCGCAGAATGGCAAGCAGATCGAAAGGTGCCCTGCGTTTCTCACTCACAAATGACGCACGAAACATACTCACAGGTACAGATGAATGCGAATAAGCGTCTCAGTTGTTACTTCGCTGTGTCTTGAAAGTATGTCTTTTTCGAAAACGAAGACAAAATTAGTGATCTAGTCAAATGTATGTGGCAGTAGTGGTCTGCAGACGTGTGTAGCATGTTTCATAAAGCAGCTTAGAACTGTGCTAGCTGTTACGAAAATTTGCCTATACTGCCTCAGATGTGTTTTCGAACATTGCTTATGGGACTGGTCAGCTTACAGTGCTGGCGGTCTGTCACATGCAGCCATGGAGAAAAAAAGAACCTAAAATAGAGCGTACTTAGCATCCTCAAACCAACCTATTGCAACCTATCAATTCATTTTATAAGTCCATCGATCCCGTGAATGCAGTGTATTTGCAGAGTTGTTCAATAGAAACTGCTAACGCTCCATAGTGCATGTTTTAAATGCAAAGCATATTTTAGCAAACTGCAGACGTCTTCAGAGCTTCTACCTACGTATCTATGTAGCCTCCTACATCAGGGGGCTCTGATCATCGCATCATTAACTTGAGGTAGACCAGAACTAGTATGGAGAGGCAAGAAGATATGACGAATATCTCTAGATAGTCATGACATGAATAATGTGTAAATCTCGTTGCGGATGTCCTCACACCATTTCTTGCAGACGTGTGGCACATACCCTTTGTACCATGCTAAGTGGGTGTGCGCCGCAGGGATTGACAGTTGCAAAAAAAGACCTTGCTAATTTAAATGTGAAAGCGTTAAAGGGACCGACAACTGCCGAGAACATGAAATGAGATGACTGCACAGATAGCAATATAGTTCCTCATGGTGACTCATACCAACCCTGTTTTCTCGCGAGAAATGGGTTGGTTTCATATTTTCATCTCTTTGTTTAAAGTTGCAAAAATAACTTGTGGTCCCACCTGGTGGCAGAAACTTCAATTATCTAATCTGCACTGTCATGTGACCTTAAACTAGTGTACACAGTCAAGAATTTTCTTGTTAGTATTTAAATTTCACTTGCTTCTTTATAGTAAAAAATATTGCTCTATAAAAACGTACACATGTACTTTGAGGTGAAGTCAACAGCTTTATGCTAAAAACACCCTTGGATGATTTAACATTTTACACCATGCGATAGTGGAGGTCACAGCCCAATAAGGAACTAGGGCTGCAGTCAACTTTCTTACATCCCCTCCTTTCCTGTTAGTATTGAAGTATTGTTTGCTTCTTTATAGTAAAAGATATTGCTCTATAAAAATTACTTATAGGCCTGCATTAGTAAACTATAAAAGCCACAAAACACCGAAATCGGAAAAAGCAGAGCAGTAGAAATAGAGACATAGAGCAGAGACGTGGTGCTAACAACTGACGTTTATTTCGGAAAATACTTTCCTCCCAAGTCCGTAAAATACATGTGCAGATACCAAACCAAAAGAACCAAAACAACAAGCAAGCTAATCTAAGCAAATCATCTCTGCACTAAAAACAAACATTCTTTCCCACGAAATAAGCTGAAGCTGCGCTAACACATTTGTCAGGACCCAGTTTCCAGATATGAAATGCCTCAATAATCTCCTGTTCACGTTGCGTCTTAGCCTTACCTAAAATTGTCACCTTATCAAAGAAGGGGTTACAACCACACAACTTGCAGTGCAACAGCAAGTTAACACCAGTGCCCGACGGTAGAAGATTTTCATGCTCACTGAGCCAAACATTAACAAAATGACCAGATTGTCCAACGTAAAACCTTGCACAACTTAACGGGATACCATACACCACACATGTGTTACAAGCGCAGTATTTTTTCATATGATTTATGTCACACATACTTCTTATAGTGCCGAGCTGCGCAACCCTCTTGCAAAAACCCGCCAGTTTGCTAGGTGCAGGACAGACCTGTTGGACATAGATTCTGGCCGCAACCTTCTTCAATCTGTTTGAAATGCCATGGACGTGCGGCATAACCGCAAAGTTATTTTTTCGAACTCCTCCGTCATTTCTAAGGTCTCGAACACCACCGTTCCTTCTGTGTATTACATTTAGGTGCTCAAACCTATGTTCAGCAATAGACGCTATTAACGACTTCGGGTAGCTTGCCAACAAAAGCCTATTTTGCTGCTCAGTCATGCTATCTTGCATATTATGAGTGCAACTCTTAGTAACAGAATTTATCAGACAAAAATTGGCAATACCTCTTTTCACCAGCTTTGAGTGGGAGGAATCATAAGGCAAAAGATTTTTTTTACTCCTTGGACTATATTTCTAGCACCAGCACATGTGAACATGAGGATTAAACGTGAGTGTGAGGTCTAGAAACCTAATGGAATTTTCCTGTGGAACTTGATGCGTGAAACGAAATTGTGAACAGCATGCTTGAAATACTGAAATGATGTTGCCAATGACATCTAAAACAGTCACTCCCCCTAATGCATAGAAAAACAATAAAATTGTCAACATATTTAAAAATACGGACTACTCGGGGATCATCGAGCCTTTGGCACAAGCGTCTAAAAATTGGCTAAAAAAATACTTCCGAGCACCAGAGCAACACAGGACCCCGTGCATATAACATTTTTCTGTAAAAACAATTTGCCACCAAAGGTGACAAAAGCTGCCGAAATATGAAAGTTTAAAAGTTCAATAAAGTACTCAGTTTCAAGGCCACATGCACCTTGAAAAGAGGTCATGCCATGCGATTCAGTGGCCTCACGCAGAACTGAAAATAGTTCGTTATGGGGTGCAAAATAGTACAGCTTTTCAATGTCAACAGAAAAAGCTGTGTTCGTTACCAGCTCTTCCGCGCTCAGAGCCACTCGAGCTGTCAATGCCACATGGATGATTGGGAACAAGAGCTTGTAGTCGTGGGCAATAGTAGTTTTAGTAGTGGGAACAAGAGCTTGTTAGTGGTTCACAATAAAGCGGCGCTGATTTCGCATGACGTAGTCATCCCATGCTCGTCATCACGTCCTAAGCAACTTTACTGCATGCTCATGAAACTGTGCGCGCGCTTTTTAGGTCGCTAAGCATTTGGAGTGACATGCTTTTTTTTTTACCTACACTTTGTCTCAGAAATGATGCGCAGTGACATTTTCAGTGACTTGGCTTGGCTCATGTGTCGAGATAGTACCGATGACGGGACTAGCCCTCCATGACACAGGCACATCAACTTTAGGTGCAGGTGCACGCAACGCAGTACAAATACAAGGAGGCTGCATAAAGCCATATCGTCTCATTGTAACAGCATGTTATTTTCAAAAATAGTTGTAAAGCTCAGAATAGATGTGGTTAAGCATAGTTATGAGAAGCCCTCTGAAAGCAGAACAAGGACAACATGCACAAGTCGTTAGATGGGTGACTGGCATCGCTATCAATTTTCAGCATTGTTGGAAAAAAAAAAGGCACATTGGTGTTCAGAGCCTTTCAATTCGAAAAATGCTGATTATCCAATAACAAAGTGTGTTTGGGAGTAACTACTGCAGCGGCGAGCGCTGCGAAGGGTATGTTTTCGGTCGCGCTGAAAAAAACTGGGCCAAAACAAATCAGTTGTTGGTTGGTTTAAGAAAAAGTGATATTGGCAGCTTGTACCTGAATGCAGAAAAAAAAAATAAAACACGACAGGCTTGCACGGAACGCGCAACACTGTCACATCAAAAACTGGAAGAGCAGCCAAAAAGAGCCTTTTTGTAACACTCTCTCAGTGGCTTCTGCAAGCACACTTGCAGGGTAACCACTACGCCGTAAATCATTGTGTATTAGGCAGGTATTCACTATGCCGAACTTTGTCACTTTTCGGGGAAGCCTGGTACCTGCTGCACGCTTGCACGGAACTTTGTGCAATTTTTTGTGTTTTGGTTGACTACGATAAAGAATTATAGCAGAGGATTTTGTAATCCCCACAATCCCCTACAGTGGGAATGCACAAAGTAAATAGGTGAACAAGATCAAGCTTTTCTCAAGGTTTTGAGCATTCGACGACCCACACTTTGTGTAATTCGTATTATGTGACACATGATTATTCATTTCTCGTTCTAAAATGCTTCGTTATTCATATTAACGTGATTCCTTTCCCAACATCAAAACTGCCTAAAGCCAGTTTGCAAAAGAGTCCCAAGCACCAGCATAGCTCAGTAGTAAACTGCCGGGCTGGCACGCAGGGGACCCGGGTTCGAATCCCATTTTTTCCTTTGTGTTCTTTAT